AATATCCTGAAGAGTCGGGGAGAGAAGTTATTGCGATATCCTCCACTAGTTGCAGTTGATCTCTCTCCCCCACCAGCTGTTAGAGAAGGAATTTCTTTGCTGCTTGAGCTCATAGATACCTACAATAGCATGATGTTTCCTGCCTCTGGAAAAAGACCAAACTTTGACCCTGTTATTTCTGCATTACTGGATCCTATAATTCAGGTGAGCTTTCTGTGTCAGCTGTCAGGTTTGCCTTATAAATATAATGTTATGCAAATATCTGATGGGTGTTGTTATCATATATAGCATTGATATTCTATTTTATTGTGAACAGTAGCACTAATAGCAAGTTAGCAACATATTTTCACTCTTCAGTTGTTTAATGCCATCATTTTTTTGAGTGGCTTATCCTCATGCATCAATTTGATACTGATACTGATATCCTCTAGAAATAAAAAGAAGCTTAATGTAATGATTTCGAACAGCATACTTCAGTCAAAGAAAGGAGTCGTGTAGAGAAGACTAGGACTTGAACAAGGTGCTTCAAATACTGGACAGATTTGAATGTGTTAAGATGCAATTTGGTCAGATGATGAACAAATTGGACAGCTATGCCTGACAGGCTACTAGCACCACCATAGCAGTGGAAGTCATTATTCTGCATGATTTGATACTGTTTTTTTAAAAAAAAAAATTAATAGCATTATATGAAGTAGTTCTAGCCTCTCCTGATATAATAGCGTGTATTTTCTCACATAGCACCAAGCCCACTTGTAGCAGTTAGATGGATTACTTCACTACAACGATACACTTACTGCACTTTTAGGTTATTGTAGTCATACATGCCAAGTAGCCAAATGCTATGGTATGTGCTACTGCTACAAAATGTTATACTCTATACTGAGTGATAGCCCAGCAATTTCTATTGTAAAATCCTTCATTTTATTAGCATTTATTGTTACAGCAGAATAACTCTTTGTTATCTGCAGCATAACTTATGTGGTACTTATACTGATATTCCTAACTTTTCAGATGTGTGAGCAAGCTGCAGAGGCACAGAAGTCAAAAGGTTCACTTGGGCGGCGTGGTAGAACAAGCTCTGATCCTAGTGGAAATAGCAGGGATTCTATATCAGTTGATGCTATTCTGTCTAAGAGTTTATCTACATCGGTTCTGGTTAGTAGCAGCACTTTTAATATTTACCATGTACTCCGTCCATTCCAAATTATAAGACGTTCTGGCTTTTCTAGATACATTGTGTTTGCTATGTATATCTAAGTGTATAACAAAAACTATGTATCTAGAAAAGCCAAAACGTCTTATAATTTGGAATGGAGGGAGTATATAGGATGACTAGATCCTATTAGGAAAGATGTAGCCACTGAACTGAGGGGGTATAGCTTGTCTATACCGGGGTTCACTTAGATTAACAGAACATGGACATTGTGTGCCAACCCTTAGAGTTTCATCTGACTGCAATACTGAACGTAGCATCCTTTTTCTCGTAGTTCTTTCTCATTCTATTGCAACTGGTTATCACATGGTCTAATGAAATATAAATGATGTGCAAGCTGATGTCTTAAAAGTTCCTTACAGTTGCAATACCAAAATTCTGACATTTTTCTAGTTTATTTCTTATTCTATTTCCAATGTTATTAGATATAGAGAAACAGTCATGGTTGTTCAACTGCTAAATTGTAAACATGTCATTCTTCCATTCCTTAATAGTGCTCTATGAGGAAACTGCACATGTTCTGAATTTCATGATTGGTTTTGTGGCTTTGATATTAATTTCTCCTGATTGCCTCTTTCCATTAGAATGTAATTAAAGAGGAATGATACCGATTTTTTTTTATGTTGCACTAAAAAAACATCATTGCCGGATGGAAATTGCGTGCTCTTGGTTTCATGATCAAATTGGACATTTGTTTTTCACCCAAGAAAGTTAATCTTGTTTTATACTTAACCACTTGGGCATTTCCACTTTGTTTATTCATTCGATGTAATATGCAGAGTGCCGAATCTTCATCCAAAGTCTACCTCATCAACTGCTTGTCAGCTATTCAGGAGCCATTGATGGGCCAGGAGGTTGCTACAAGCTATGTAAACAGCCTGCGCTCTATGATTGAAGCACATATTCGTGCCCTTGTCGATAAAGAAGTTGACAGCATTCTTAGGAAATGTGGACTATCAAATAAGATGCCATACATAAAGGAGTATGGTAGCAAGGCTGATGCAAAGCCTCTGGCAGATATTATCGAGACGTCGCCACAAATGCTTCTGGAATGCTTGAAGGCATTCTATGGCATTGTGACTGGAACAGAAGGTTCCTTGCCTGAATTTGAGCAAGTGCAGGTTCCAAGGTTACGTTCAGATGCCTGCTATGGTTTGGCAAGAGCTCTAGCAGAATCTTATGAGCTCATTTACAGTGCAGTGATGGATCCAAATAACAGTTATCCTGACCCAAGGTCGTTGGTTAAGCACTCTCCTGAACAGATAAGAACTATACTGGAAATCTGAGGTCTTTGCACCATGCCTTTTGATACTATGTTAAGTAGAGGTGTTTCATGCACGAAACATTTGCGATGTAAATTTCCGACTACAAGCTGTGGGTTCAATTGATTACAGAAATATTGAAGAGGTGACTCTTTTTCTGAACTCATGTATCATTATATAGTGTCTCACTGTCTCCTCTATTCCTTTTTACTTTATATATCAAAGTTATTTTTTTCTTCAGTGCTGTAATTTTGAGGTACAGCTTGACCGATTAATATGATACCAGTTGTATACCAAAGCTACTATCCAAGCATGTTAAATAGCTTTGATATAAAATGCCATTTTTTCAGTTCAGTAAAACATCAAAGCTCAATCATAATTCTCGATTATTTTCAGTACCGCGCACCTGCAGCAGATTCTGCTTCAGCTGTCCTTATATTGTTTCTGTGTTTGCTTATTATATTGTGCTTTGCTTATTATATTGCACGCTGAAGTTTGGCAGGTGTGGAAACTGGAAACAGTTGTTGGCAGTCAAGAATTCAAGATCCAAGGCTGTCTAGGTTGAAGAAAAAAAATAATCTGTCAGACATGTTACCAGGGTTTGAAATAATCTGTCTAGGCTGAAGTGTCGTCTGGTCAGTATCCTTAATTTCCGCAGTGCATATGGGCATGCTATGTCTCTTCCTTTGAACCTTTTGTACAGAGGCTATAGCTCCGGCCATTTTAAGGTAAATCGTCTGCTGGAACCCTAAATCCTTTATCTATATCTAATATTAAAACACAGAAAATTCTTTGATCCGTCATCCTCACTTTCTAAATCACACTCCCATCTTTTCTACACTCCAAAACAACCCTTCTCGCTCCCCCATAAGACTAGTCACAACGTAGGAATATGTCGATGCTGAAAGAAGAAAGAGAGAGTACTTAAGCATCGAATCATCAAAGTTACAGCGACCGATGCTAACTCCAAAATTCTACCAAGCGAGACAAGAAGATGACTCGATGCTAGCCAAATAAAAAATGATTTCTCAGCTGGCTAATAGACACTTAATCGAGTGCAAGAAACATTGGTCGTTCTGTGAAAGGTTTGGCCCACATGCTTATGCACCTCGATGCTGAACGTTGTGCGGCAAGAAGAGCTTTGAGCATCGGTGTTGATGGCATGCGCATTAGTTTTTCTGGCATCGATTACATTGTGGTAGGCTACATCACTCTCTAAATTCAATACACGATAGTTCTATTATGAATCTTTTCACATAAGAAGAAATTATGATAAGTCATTAGAACATATATTTAGACGCATAATGAAAGCTAGTATGTGTTTAGAAAAGACTGAATGACTGATAATCTATAATGGAGGGAGTATTAACTTATTTTAGCTGATCAAACGTGAACTACGTTAGCACACTGCTCACGGTCTGCTTACTTACCTAACTCACCTGTCACCTCGTAATCTAAGCAGCCGCATGGACTTTTGAACCGGCCTGCGCACGCTACTAGTTTCCTTTTTCCTACAATAAAAGATTGCCCAATTGCTGCCGGTTTTTCTCGTCCATTTGGTCTGATCGTGGGCTGTCTGCCCTTGCCCTGGCTGTGGATCAGGTCGGGCACTCGGGCTCCCTTCCATGCGTTGGCGGGCGGAATGGCAAGTGGGGGAGGTGGGCAACATGTGGAGATGGTGGAACGGAACTGGAACGGGCGGCCTCGAGGTCGCCGGTCCACGTAGGCGGGGATGATGTGTGACGGCCTAAGCCATGACCGCGACGGGAGAGCGATCTTTACGGGACGGGACCGTGTGGGAACGGGCGCCTGGCACATCACGACAGCTCCCCGCGTTCCTCTGAAGTGACACGATACACGACCCCAGCAAGGAGACGCCGAGAAGACTTAGGGGGCGTTTAGATGGCAATTTTTTTGATTGGGCTACTGTAACATTTTCGTTTGTATTTAGTAATTATTGTCTAATTATGGATTAATTAGGTTCGAAAGTTTCGTCTCGCGATTTCTCACTCAACTGTGTAATTAGTTTTTTATCGTCTATATTTAGTACTCCATGTATGGGCCGCAAGATTTGATGTGACATTTTAGGGTAAAAATTTTTGGAACCTAAACGGGGCCTTAGACATCGCTTGGTGGATCCCCATGGTCGATGTAGGAATGCAGCAGACGTGTACGTGCGGGGGGCCAGCTTTGAGCTGCGTGTACGGTGTACAGTACATTATGGGGCATGAGAGGAGCAGTATGAGTCTAGGGGTAGGGTGGTCGCTGGTCCGAATGGCCCCGGTTTTAATGCGGAATTCTGCGCCATGGAACGCAAAAAAACAAAGACACCAGGCGCGGCGGCAAGCGCACCTGTCCAACCGCGCCTCAGCCAAACCAAACCCATCGCCGCCCGCCCCGCCTTCTCCTCGTTACGCCAACGCCGCCGCGGCGGCAGCTTGCCGGTCTTTGACTAAGGAGAGATGAGGCGCGTCGCTCGGTGGCCAGCGAAGTGAGTTTCCGAGGGGAGACGAGAGAGATCGATGCAGGGCTCGGCGGCGGCACTGCTGCTCCTGCCGTGGCTGCTGCAGCTGCTGCATGCGGCAGCCGCGGGCAACGGCAGCTGCGCGCGGAGCTGCGGGGGCTTGACGGTGCAGTACCCGTTCGGCTTCTCCCCCGGCTGCGAGATACCGCTCGGGTGCGACGACCAGGCGAACGGCACCGCGTGGGTCGGCGGCGCGCGCGAGCTCGGCCTGCTGGTGCACAACGTCACGGCGCGCGCTGTCGTCCTCTCCCTGCCCCAGGACTGCTCCCGCGGACTCAACGCCTCCATCCAGGCGCTCTTCTCGAAGAGCTACGCGCCTGGCTCGCAGCACGCGCTCGTCGTGAGCGCGTGCAGCCCCGCCTCGCCGTCGCATACCAGCAACTGCAGCGACGGCGACAGGTACCTCGACAGGTCGTCCCAGTGCAACACCACCGAGCCCATCCGCTGCGTCCTGCCACCAGTAGTCCCACCACCGATCAGCAGCGGTAGCGACCAACGTTTCTTCAACAGAGCCGAGATGCAAACGCTCGCCGCAGAATGCACCGGGCTCGTGTCAGCGGCGAGCTACTGGGACGCGCCGGCGCCGGCGCTGCTGCTGGGCGTGATGGAACTGGAGTGGTGGGTGGTGGGCGAGACGTGCCGCTGCTCGCGCCACGCCACCTGCACCCTGGTCACTACGCCGATCGCTGGGCAACGGGCGTTCCGGTGCGAGTGCCCCGAGGGGTACGACGGCGACGGCTTCGCCGACGGCACCGGTTGCTGGAGAGGTCAGTGACGTCATTTGATTAATGCTTATTGTTTTCTCGGCTCCGAGTATCGTTGGTTGAATTGGTCAGTCAAATTGTGCGAGCTAGCGAATTTGTTAGAATGGTTGACTCCGCTCTTGCATCCAGCTCGCGCCACCAGAATGGCTTGGACCATGGGCTCCGCTATCAACTGGCCGTAATCATATCGACGTCTCAGCAAACCACGTACCAATACATTCGTAATGTATCAACCTCTTTAGATTACTTGGCTAACAAGTAGCTAAAAAATAGTCCTAATCTATTCAAATATGTAAATTAGTAGGTGGACTAAACTTTAGTCTAGCGCCGAACTAACAACTAGTCCTTCAGTTGGCAAATAATCCACCTAAATGAGACTAATAGGTGTGCCATGTTCCCAAAATAAGGAACGTGGAATGATAGTGGTACGATACTTTTAAAATATTTTTACGTCATGACAACTAACGTAAAAACGATCCCAGAACAAAGAATATGACCATGTTCCCTAAGGTTTGAACTAACACTAGTTGTAGGCAATCTAAAGTTCCAAACAGACCCATAATATCAAACCCCAAACCACAGACACGACTAATGAAACCACGAAAGGCTCTGCCTACCAACTTCTCTCTATGAAAATCTGCTGGTAATATCTCTGCCTCCTTTCTTGGTACATACTTGTGAAAAGGGGATTCTTGTTGGTGGATTGGGTAGTCGTTTAGAGAAGAAACAAATTCGCGTGTAAAATATGTACACCTACAAATTAAATGGAGTCTAAGAATCATAAACGTATTTTGACCAGAGAGAAGTTATACCAAGTAAATTGTTACCCTTAATTTCTCTTATAATATGTCGTGAATTGTTAAAAAAAAATCTTATAGGCACTTTTAGTAAAAACCTATCGATGCAATTTTTATGCCATAATTTTTCTAAAAGTTTGCAGGAGCACTGCATATCGTTTAGGCTTTGTTCAGTTAGTACCCTACCCGAAGGGATTGAGGGATATTTTGACTTATAGGGGCTTTAGTCCTAATCAACCCCCTCCAATCCCCACCAAACTGAACGAAGCCTTAAGAAGAGAATGCGAGTTCAATACATGGTTTTAGTACATAAAGAACCCAAGACCATTAGCGATGTAGCCAAGTTTCCAATTAGCTTATACAAGGCTCCCCACAAGCAACTCTTTTTTAGAGTTCAAGGGCAGAGCCCCGGTCTTTATATTCCAAAGACCACCAGTTAAGCATTCATACAATGTGCCTCAGCACAAACATACAGCCTTAACAGAAGACGAAAACAATTGTAAAACAGAACTGGAACTAGCAACACCATTACATTCCCCAGGCCCACAAGCAACTCTCATGAGGGCGATTTCTTCTATCGCCGGTTTTGCACCGACGAGTTTAGTTTGCCATCAAAGAGTCTTCTATTTCTCACCTTCCAGATGTTTCTAAGTCGTATGCATCAAAGTTGTGGCTCTGCAGGAAGCCAGCCACCAATCTTCTAATGTTTCATCCCGGGCTTTGGCACTGAATTATGCAGTAAACTTGCATATAACTAACTATTAGTAATAACAACTACAACAACAAAGCCTTTAAATCCCAAACAAGTTGAGGTAGGCTAGAGTTGAAACCCAGCAGAAGCAATCAAGGTTCAGGCACGTGAATAGCTGTTTTTCAAGCACTCTTATCTAAGGCTAAGTCTTTGATATATTCCATCCTTTCAAGTCTCCTTTTATTGCCTCTACCCAAGTCAACTTTGGTCTTCCTCTGCCTTCCTTCACGTTACTATCCTGGCTTAGGATTCCACTACGCACCGGTGCCTCTGGAGGTCTCTGTTGGACATGTCCAAACCATCTCAACCGGTGTTGGGCAAGCTTTTCTTCAATTGGTGCTACCCCTAATCTATCACGTATATCATCGTTCCAAACTCGATCCCTTCTTGTATGACCGCAAATCCAACGCAGCATACGCATTTCCGCGACACTTATCTGTTGAACATGTCGTCTTTTCGTAGGCCAACATTCTGCACCATACAACATAACAGGTCTAATCGCCGTCCTATAAAACTTACCTTTTAGCTTCTGTGGTACCCTTTTGTCACATAGGACACCAGATGCTTAGCGCCACTTCATCCTCCCTGCTTTGATTCTATGGCTAACATCTTCATCAATATCCCCGTCTCTCTGTAGCATTGATCATAAATATCAAAAGGTATCCTTCCTAGACACTACTTGACCTTCCAAACTAATATCTTCCTCCTCCCGAATAGTAGTGCCGAAGTCACATCTCATATACTCAGTTTTAGTTCTACTGAGTCTAAAATCTTTGGACTCCAAACTCTCCTGCCATAACTCCAGTTTCTGATTCACTCCTGTCCGACTTTCATCAACTAACACTACATCGTATGCGAAAAAGCATACACCAAGGGATGTCCCCTTATATGTCCCTTGTGACCTCATCCATCACTAAGGCAAACAGATAAGGGCTGACCCTTGATGTAGTCCTATCCTAATCGGGAAGTCATCCGTGTCTCCATCACTTGTTCAAACACTAGTCACAACATTGTTATACATGTTCTTAATGAGCCCGACGTACTTCGTTGGGACTTTATGTTTGTCTAAAGCCCACCACATAATATTCCTTGGTATTTTGTCATAAGCCTTCTTCAAGTCAATAAAAAACCATGTGTAGGTCCTTCTTCTTCTCTCTATACCGCTCCATAACTTGTCTTATTAAGAAAATTGCTTTCATGATTGACCTACCGGGCATGAAACCAAATTGGTTCATAGAGACCCACGTTATTGCTCTCCAGCGATGCTCGATAACTCTCTCCCATAGCGTCATAGTATGGCTCATCAACTTAATTCCTCGGTAATTAGTATAACTTTGAATATCTCCTTTATTCTTGTAGATCGGTACCAATATACTTCTCCACTCGTTAGGCATCTTGTTCGATCGAAAAATATGGTTGAACAACTTGGTTAGCCATACTATAGCTATGTCCCCGAGGCATCTCCACACCTCAATTGAGATACCATCCGGTCCCATCGCCTTATCTCCTTTCATCCTTTTCAACGCCTCTCTGACATCAGATTCTTGGATTCTCCGCACAAAGCACCTATTGGTGTCATCAAAAGAGTCATCCAACTGAAATATTATGTCTGTATTCTCACCTTTGAACAATTTGTCAAAATACTCTTGCCATCGATGTCGGATATCATCCTCCTTCACTAAGAGATGCTCCCTTTCATCCTTAATGCACTTAACTTGGTTGAAGTCCCTTGTCTTTCTCTCACGAACCCTAGCCATCCTATAAATGTCCTTCTCTCCTTCCTTCGTTCCCAAATGTTGATAAAGATCCTCGTACACTCTACCCTTTGCCACACTTACAGCTCGCTTTGCAGTCTTCTTTGCCACCTTGTACTTCTCTATGTTGTCTACACTCCTGTCATGGTACAAGCGTCTATAGCATTCTTTCTTCTCCTTAATAGCTCTTTGGACTTCCTCATTCCACCTCAAGTATCTTTAGCCTCGCCTCCACTTCCTTTGGTTACTCCACACACCTCTGAGACCATCTTCCGGACGTTGGTTGCAATCTTCTCCCACATGTTGTTTATGTCCTCTTCTTCCTTCCAAGAGCCCTCTTTGATAACCCTTTCCCTGAATATCTCTGACGTCTCCCCTTTCAGTTTTCACCACTTTGTTCTTTCAATCTTAGCTTGTTTATCCCTACGGGCACACACCTAAAAATGAAAGTCTGCCACCAAAAGCTTATGTTGAGAAACAACACACTCCCCTGGTATCACCTTACAACCCAAGCGTGCTCGTTTGTCCTTTCTTCTTGCGAGGACAAAGTCAATCTGGCTAGAGTGTTGTCCGCTACTGAAGGTCACTAGATGAGATTCTCTCTTTCTAAAGAAAGTGTTGGCTATCATCAGGTCAAAAGCTACTGCAAAGTCCAGAACTTCCTCCCCCTCCTGATTCCTACTACCATACCCAAAACCTCCATGAACTGCCTCGAAACATGCGCTTGTAGTACCTACATGCCCATTAAGATCTCTTCCTATAAAAAGCTTCTCACTACTAGGTACAACTCTAATCAGGCCATCTAAGTCTTTTCAGAACTGTCTCTTAGCACTCTCGTCGAGGCCTACTTGGGGGGAATACGCACTAATTACGTTCAAGACCATATCACCAATGACAAGCTTGACTAAGATAATCCTATCTCATTGCCTTCTCACTCCCATTACACTATTTTTGAGACTCTTATCAATCAAAACTCCTACTCCATTTCTATTCGCGACTGTCCCTGTGTACCAAAGCTTGAAACCTGTATTGTCCATCTCCTTCGCTTTCTGACCCTTCCATTTAGTCTCTTGAACGCATAATATATTTACACATCTCCTAGTCGCGGTATCAACTAATTCTCTTAACTTACCTGTAAGTGACCCTACATTTCAACTACCTAAACGGATCCTAGTTGGTTCGACTAGCTTCCTTATCCTTCGCACCCGTCGACTCAGATATGAAGACCCTTGCTTATTTTTTACTACACCAAAAATATAAAATTTGAGTTTCTTCTATGTTTAAAATATGCTTATCATTCCTGGACGTGGGAAGTAATCCAATGCTACTGGTGTGGTTGTGCACTGCCATATAAACATTTTTTTGTGTCTAACTGATGCTGCCTGGAATTGTGCATGATAGACTGCTTTTGAAACACAAGAATCCTTCAGAGTTCGGACTGCATATTAAACTGTTCAACGTGTGGAATTTGCTTTGATAATTTGACGTGTCTCCTGATCTATATTTTCTTCAATCTGACACTTTGATTCAATGGTTTCAGCTCCAAAATGCAATCCTTCAAAATACCTATCTGGAGATTGTGGCAAGACGATCCAAATCGCCCTTCTCGTGGCAGGTAATATAAGTTGCTCATAATATCTACTACTCCCTCCATCCCAAATTGTAAGACGTTTGACTTTTTTGCCTCAAGTTTGACCACTCGTCTTATTCAAAAAATTTGTGCAAATATAGTCAAATTTAAGTCATTCTTGAAGAATTTTTATTAATAAACCAAACCACGACGAAAAAGTGATATTTTACATAAATTTTTGAATAAGACAAGTGGTCAAACTCGATGTCAAAAAAGTCAAACGTCTTACAATTTGGGATGGATTGAGTACCTGATAATATTCAGAATAATATCCCTGCTGAAGGAGGGAATACTCCTAGGAAAGTAAGGTTAAATCAGGCCCGCCTATTGTATTTTCCGCAGAAGGCCCAATAATTTGACCTACATGATCCACGTTTGCGGATTGGGTTAGATTATCGTGGCAGTACAGACTGGGCTGGGCTGGGCTTCATTTTCCGAGACGTTCACACCACTGTTCATATGAGCATGAATTTGATTCTAAAAAAAAATGTGAGCATGAATTTGTACACGTGCGCAGGGATCATGTTTGGCGCCATGGTGACGGGCGTGACCTGCCTGGCGTACCAACTGCTGAAGCGCCGGTCCGCGTCCATCCGTACGAAGCGCAGCACAAAGCGGTTCCTGTCGGAGGCCTCCTGCGCGGTGCCCCTGTACTCGTACCGCGAGATCGAGCGCGCCACGGGCGGCTTCTCCGAGGAGAAGCGGCTGGGCACGGGCGCCTACGGCACCGTGTACGCGGGGCGGCTCAGCGACGACCGCCTGGTGGCCGTGAAGCGGATCCGGCCGCGCGACAACGGCGGCGGGGTGGACTGCGTGATGAACGAGGTGAAGCTGCTGTCGTGCGTGTGCCACCGCAACCTGGTCCGCCTCCTCGGCTGCTGCATCGAGCAAGGGCAGCAGATCCTGGTGTACGAGTTCATGCCCAACGGCACGCTGGCGCAGCACCTGCAGCGGGAGCGAGGCCCCGCCGCGATGCCCTGGACGGTCCGCCTCCACATCGCCGCCGAGACGGCCAAGGCCATCGCGTACCTGCACTCGGAGGTGCACCCGCCCATCTACCACCGCGACATCAAGTCCAGCAACATCCTGCTCGACTACGAGTACAACTCCAAGGTCGCCGACTTCGGGCTGTCGCGGATGGGCAACATGGGCATGGGGGACTCCTCGCACATCTCCACGGCGCCGCAGGGCACGCCGGGCTACGTCGACCCGCAGTACCACCAGAACTTCCACCTCTCCGACAGGAGCGACGTCTACAGCTTCGGCGTCGTGCTCGTGGAGATCATCACCGCCATGAAGGCCGTCGACTTCGCCAGGGCGCCCAGCGAGGTCAACCTGGCGCAGCTCGCCGTGGACAGGATCGGCAGGGGCTGCGTCGACGACATCGTCGACCCGTGCCTGGACCCGCACAGGGACGCGTGGACGCTCTCGTCCATCCACAAGGTGGCCGAGCTGGCGTTCCGGTGCCTGGCGTTCCACAGCGAGATGAGGCCGTCCATGACCGAGGTCGCCGACGAGCTGGAGCAGATACAGCGCAGCGGGTGGGCGCCATCGGCGGATGACGCCGCGTTCATGTCGACGTCGTCGTCGATCTCCTCGTCCGTAGCGTCGACGCGCGGCACGGACAGGTCGTGGGGTGCCGGCAGAAGCCGGACGGAGAGGGCCGCGGTGAATGCGTCGTTGGTCGTGCAAGAGACGGCGGCGAAGGGTGCAGTGGAGTCCCCTGTGTCCGTGCAGGAGAGGTGGTTCAGCGAGAGGAGCTCCCCTTCCTCCAACAGCTTGCTGGGCAATTGCTCCCATGCACTGAACTGAAACATCCAATTGCTCGTCCTCTATGCTCCAAGTCTCAGCTAGCTAGCTTAGATATACATTTAAGAACGATGCATCTGTTGATCTGTTCTTGCGCGTCGTTCGTTCCCTCTTCCCTCCCGTTAATCTGGGACTATCTGTACATGAAATTCAGTCTTGGCTAGGAACAGAGCCAAGGCAGTAATTGGTTGAGGGTGTAGATATACATACATACAAGCCACCTAAGTTCAAAGTCTGCATCGAATCGAATTTTGATGCTTATTTCTTCTTAATATAAAACCAGGTCGGTTCTCCTAGGTTGCTTCAGTTTTAAAATCTAGTCTTCTATCGGTACTCGAGTAAATCAATGTCTGACGTTGCCAAGGCATGTTCGAAAAAAAAAAATCAATGGCTGACCGGATTTGGCTTCAGCGAGACATTGAAGTAACTTCTGCATCTTTACGTGAGCTCTGTTCTACCATTATGCAAGTGCTGGCTCCATTGGCATGTGGGTGAGGAAACAACAAGAATGCATGGGACCTGGCTGGTTACTAGTGTTAGTGTTAGTTGATCTCCACCGGCCAATTGGGGCCAATTGGATCCTTGGATCCGCGCCCTGATCGGGGGCGCCCAACCCTAATATGGTTAGTGGGCCTTCATCGCACAGCGCCATAAATAGAAGGTGGGGGCCGGGGCCCCAAGCACGAGGTTCGCCTGAGCCGCCTAGCACCCCACCTACAGTCCTAAACCCTAACCGATCACAGAGGGGGCGCTGCCAGCGACGGGAAGCGCCGCCACTGCACCGCCGCCCTTCGACACAGCACTGCCACCGGGTCTTCACCAAGCACCGTGATGGCGAGCCCGTCTTCCTCCAAGGCGGCCGATGGTTTGCACCCCCTTCACCCCTCTCTCTCACTCTATCTCTTATCCTGTACTAGTAGATGTTCTAGGACTCACTGTTTATTCCAAAAACAAGTAGACACGCTAGATCTATGGCTAGTGATCCTGTTTTATGTCTATCAACTAGTGGTCCATTTGTCGAACCGGCTATCTAGCGATTATGTTTATCATTTTCTGTGTTACTGACTTACTATCCGCAGGACTTTTGGAGGAATCTAAAATTTTTCCTTTGTCACCGAACTGCTGTGTTTTGTCCACACGCGGCCATCAAAATGTTCATTATCGCAGTTTGTATGTATTTTTCAATCCACTATGATTCCAAATATTAGCGCCTTCTATTTCATTTATACGGTTCTGCTATTTCTATCTTTCTAGAATCCCACGTACCTTCGAAGAGGGCCTAAGTTCCATCGCGGGAACGTGAACGTGCTGACAAATCTTTGAAGAGTTCTAGTTAGTGATGACGTCGTCATGAAGACATCAACATATAACGACTCCAGGAGAATACATTTCTTTTTCTCGATCAAGCATTAGCCCGTTTTTCATTAAGAGGAAGTAGAGGTTGTTAAACAGTTACAACAACAGGCATCCCGATAATCCCAAGATTACCAAGACCCCCAAGCAATCGATACAAAAAACACAAGAAGCAAGCAAGAAGGCAGAAGGGAGAGGACCCTTCACTACAAACCTAACCGACTGGACCTGTAGAAAAAAATCAACACAAAGACTGCCCACTCAGAAGGCGAAGCCACAGTGGCAAAGCATCCACCGATAAGAACCGAGATAACGGCGACAACAGCGACCAGGTAGCCACTGTTCTGAACAACTGAGCGACTGAATCGGCAACGCAACAGAGACTAGGTAGCCGCTATGAACAAAGCGACTGCAGTGGCGACATCAACAGCGACGAGGTAGCCGTTGTGAACCGCGTGATTGCGACGGCAACATCAACAGTGACCAGGTAGCCACTGTGAACAGCCGAGCGACTACAGCGGCAACATCAACTGAGGTAGGGCAAACCGACGTGAAGAGTAGAATGAAGCACACGCAGACACAGTCAAGTAAGGATCGACTCTAGCGAACGGTGCGGGGGGAGCTGGTGGAGTGCAACAACGAAGCCTTCAAGAAGGGGATGACATCCGCGGATGCCAACTTCGTTGGGAGAAGCACCCAAGAGGGACTTTCGTCCCCAAACTTGCCCCCGCAACCCCTAACGACGATCTGTGCTTTTGACGATGCCTCCAAGAAGGTGATGACACTGGCGCGTCACCGTCGTCGGCCCTAGGCAAGAAGCATGGCGGGGTTTTCACCCAAGACTACTTACCGTCCAAGGCAGGCCAGATCCGTCCCCCTAGGGAGGAGGCCGTCACCAGCCATGGGGGGTTCAGATCTGCCCTGCCGGCCGACCTACGCGTCGGAGGTAGCAATGGGGTGCCCGGAAGGGCCACACCACAAACCAGGGGAGAAGGCCGCCACCAGCATGGTGGCTAGATCCGACCCTAGGGGAACGGATCCGGGCCCACTGGCCCGCATACACAGCGAGGGGGCACGCGTGCCCCAACCTGCCCTGGCCCGACCAGATCCGGCCGGCCACCCGGCAGACTGGGGGAGGGAGCGAGGCCATGAGGCCAGCCACCACCACCGCGACCAGGCACAAGAGCCCAGGCCGTGAGGCCATGGCCTCGGCGTCGCCATGACCAGGCCAGATCTGGTCATGAGCCCTCAGCGCCATTGACGGGGACACCTTAGCGCAAGGCGGCCATGAGGCAAGGGACAACAGATCTGGCCCCAGGAGGCCGAGATTCGCACCGCCAGACGCCGCGGATGTCGGAGAAGAAGGTGAAGAGGCGGGGCTAGAATAGGAGAGGGGGAGGGAGGAGGAGCTGCGATGGTTGCCCTTTTTCGGGGCCAGCGCTGGCCGCCGCCACTGCATGCCCGAGGGGCGGCGACGGCGACCGGAGTGGAGGTCGAGACGCACTACTACAAAAAAGATTTGTAGCAACGACTCATTTTTTTGTAGGGGCGGCTGGGGATGGAGGCGCCCCTACAGTGGACGTGCTCGGGACCCATGAGACCAATAGCCCCTACAAATGGCACAGTAGGGGCGGCTGGTGATACGAGCCGCCCCTACAAATCGTTGTAGGGGCGGCTCACTCACCAGCCGCCCTCGGTGTTGCGATTTGTAGGGGCGGCTCAATCACCAGCCGCCCATACAAATACATTTGGCCCACTGATCTTGTCCATCCATCTTGATCCAACGGGGAAGCTCCCCTTCGCACCGAAACCCATGCCCGGTTTGCAAAACCCATCGTCGCCGCCCCTGTTTTCGCGCGACCACAACTGTGGTTTTGGCTAAACCGCTGAGCCCTGCCTGTCCTCGCTTGTCCCCTGCCGCTTTCCCTCTCGAAAGAAACGCGCGCTGTATGAATTGAAATTCGCCGCCCCGCCTCAAGACCGCACCCAACCTACCCAAGTGAGACCGACGAAAGGGCCCCATCGCGGATGGCGCGCGAGCCTTTGTCAATCAACCTTCCGAGAGGTCCCCACGGCCCGCTTGACCCATCGTCGTCCCAATTTTCCCACGCGCGACGGCGCGTTTGGGGAGGATTGGCGCCGGTTGCTGACCGAACCTGCTGCACCGGCCCCACCTCATCTCGTTTCGCGTGGGTGGTATGAAAAACAACCGGCGTCGCGCCCCTGGTTTGGTGAATCCGCCGTCGCGTGGCGTGCGACCAGTGGCCATCTCCCTTACCGCCACACGCACCCACCCCTTCCTTTTCCCAACTCCGCCCCAGCCTCTGGAGAGAAAGCTCGAGAGCCACACACCTCATTTCTCTCCTCCTCCCATTCACGCGACAGCGCGAGCTCTGGATCCGGTGCCACCATGCGGGCGAGCTCCGGCCCTGGTGTCGTTGTGCACTGTGCACGAGGTCTCTGATTTTGATTTTCGCGATTTTGTGTTTGCAGTTTTGTGTTCGTCGTTGTTCTCCCGTTCTTGCCCCAAATCGAGCAGCCCCGGAGTTTGAATCAATTTCAGGCAATGATTTCTTGGGAATAGATTCGTTGCAAGTTGAATTGCATCTCTGCAAAATTTGGGAGCATTTCCTTTTGATTTGGTCGGTTTTCCTTCGAATTTCGTGGTCACTTTCTCTTCTGTACGTAGCTCTGTTCTTTGTTGATTGAGGTGCAGGCACATGAGATTCTTCTGGGGAGCGTTATCGAGAGCGATTGCAGTGTGTGCCGTGCTTGCTTCCTAGAAGCAGCGTTCGTCCCTCTCCATGCTGCCCGTCAGCACTTGTGCTCAGTTCTTCTCTGTCCGCTCGTTCTTCCTTTTTCCCTCTGTTCGTTTAGCGCCGGGCTCAGTCAGAGCGCTCGATGAGATCAGGTGGCAGCGACTCATCTCTACTGTCGGTTTGAATCTTATTATCAATTGTCTAGGTTTGGTGCGTTTTTTGTGAGATCTGGAACATCTTAGCTTGGAGTCTATTATGTTGTTTATGAAAGCGTGTTCTACAGTTTACTTGCTCATTCTCTTTGTGCCGAGAGCAGGAGCTGATCTTATGTCTCAGATTTGCAGGTCAGGCAGCAACTAGCCCAGCAGTAGCAGTTCGCCCAGCAAGAGGAGTTCAACATTGTTAGTTCAGCAAGATTAGCCGTGCTCTCTACAACATTAACCACAGCTCAGCTCTACCTTGTTCTTTTGTTTCTTGCAATAAATGCATTTCGTTTCCTTGCAGCTAGTTGTAGCCGCAGCATCTGTTTGTGCTTGTGGTCAAATTTGAATTATATATCCATATATCCATATATATATATATATATATATATATATTCGGGTCGAATTTGAATTGTAAATTTGAATTTTTTTTGCAAAAAAATAAATATATTGTAGAGGCAGTTCAGTCTAGAACCGCTCCTACAAACAGGTATTATAGGGGCGGCTGGTACTATATCTGTCCCTACAACTCGATTTGTAGGGGCGGTCTAGAAACCGCCCCTACAAATACATAATTTATAGAGACAGTTTTGTAGGAGCGGCCGGCTAAACCGTTGCTATAAATGGTCTTAAGCCACCCCCTAACAAAAAAATGCTTTGTGGCGTAGTGACGTAAGCTCCCTAGCGGCGC